TAACACATCATGATGTCATCAGTTAGACTGTATAACACATCATTATGTCATCAGTTAGACTGTATAACACATCATGATGTCATCAGTCAGACTGTTTAACACATCATGATGTCATCAGTCAGACTATATAACACATCATGATGTCATCAGTCAGTTGGACAATTCACCTACACTGGCATCAGTAATATGCACCTTCATATACATTCATTTATTTGCTGTACTGGGTATTTGTAGATTGTTATATATCACGAATATAGTTTTTTTTCCTTTTATTTATCTTTCTTTATTCTATCTCACCCTGTCCTGTTTTGAGCTGCTGTAATGTGCAAATTTCCCCACTGTGGGATCAAAAATGTTTTATCATCTTATCTCATCTCATCTCATCTCACCTCGTCTTATCTTATCTGCACTCAGATGCTTTGTTCTTTATGACGCTGCCATCAGAGAGTGTTTGCCGTCTCCTTGCAGCAATAAGTGAATACCACAACACGATGGTGCTGCTCACTGATCTGGAGCTCTGTGGGTGGGACACTAAGGGTGTCCTGAAGAGTTTTTCAGTATATTCCTCACAGTCTGCACTCTGGATCCTACTTTTTAAGATTAAATACAATCTACATTCATAGTGACACACATAAACCAAACTGCAACTATGCCAGTAGTGGCATCCCATCTTAAAAACAGTACCATCATTGCCAGACCTGGCCCAAAACTGGTTGACAAACCACTTGCCTGCTGATCACAACAACAGATGTGTTAAAACCATCTCCCCTCTCTCAAACATTTATTCAATGAAGACAGTCATAGTTTAAGTTGTGGATGACTTTCAGCTAGTAACATTTCAAAATTGAGCTCAATATTTAAAAAGGAAAACAAGTTGTAAACTTTTTGTGTTGACTAAGTTGGATTAGCTCTGGCAGCCATTCTTGGCTCGTAAAATTAGTTTCACATCAAAGCACATCCTGTGATCATTTTCATAAAATCTGTCCAGTTTTTCCTGAGATATTTTACATTTTACCATTAAAGAATAATGAAAAAATGTTCATGATGTATAAATGTTTAAATGTGATCAGAGTGCTGTGTTGTGCAGGCCTGCAGCCATGGCAGTCGTTGCTCTGGCCTTTGGACAGTACATCCTGGAGCCTCTCTTCATGCCCTGCAGCATCCCCCCCATGGCTGTCAAACTGGCCACAGCCATCGGCATAAGTAAGTACAAAACTAAAGCTTTTAAATATCAATGTTACAGAGAAATAGTGTTTGGATGTGAAATGTTGACCGGGCAGTTGGAGTCAGAGGAGGAGGTAGCAGCACTTGATGATCCAGTGTTTCATCACGTGTTCTTAAAACAGGTGGTCTTACCAGAGAAACAGAGTCACTGCTGCGGAGTTACAAGATTAATAAAAATGTAATTAAATGGTAATTACTACCTTATTACCATGTAATTATGTGGTAATTATGGTACAGTTTTATTATATAATTAATTGTCTGCAGTAATGTAGCACTTACCTGGTAATGTATTACAATTCACTATGTAACACCTAAATAAGTAGTAGATAATTTGGACAGTTTTAAAGTTATATTTTATTGCAATTAACAACTAACCCCAAAATTTAGTTGCATTCTTTTGGTTATAAATATAGTGTTTAGTTACTATTGAATAGTATTTTGATTGTAGTGACCCAATAAGTTTTTCTTTTGTACCGTAATTACCACATAATTACATGGCAATAAGGCAGTAATTACTTTTAATTACTTTTATTACCTTGTAATTACATGGTAATAAGGGTACCCTGAAAGAAAGTGTTACCCACATGTGGTCAAACATGAATTATTAAAGTAGCTTTATTAACATAACTGAAACAGCTTATTATCAAACCTCTGTTACCCACCCTAACCCCCACTGAAACTCCACTACGACTCAAATTAAACCAAAAATGAGATAAAGAAAAAATATCTATAAAAAAGTGTTCCAAAAATGAACAGTTTCTTTAACACAGCAAAAAATATATATCAAATGTGGATTATTGATCACAAGAGCTGTGTCCTCTAAGTCTCTGTTAGTTACTGATATAACTGATAATCATATTAACTTATTTTATCTCATAGTGCAGCATCCATCAGCTTGAATACCAAACCTGATTTTGACAGTTATTTTTTTCTTCTGGCAGCTTCTGTTATGTACCTGAACAGCATGAGTGTAACGTGGTCGGCTAGGATTCAAATCCTGCTGACTCTGAGCAAGTTGCTGGCTATTGCTGCCATCATTGTGCCGGGGATGTACCAGCTTTTTAAAGGTGAGACTCCTTTACCTTTTCCAGAGGACGTTCAATGTTTCGTCTATAGCAGCTTCGGAAAATATTTCAATCTGTTGCAGCCTGATTCTCCAGTTTTCTCATCAGTCATCTTATCTCACTACCTGATAATGACAAACTAGAAATAGAGTTTAAACAGGTTTGTAAATTTATTAGGAAAAATACAAATATACTGTAACATTTCCATAATTATTTAGACCCTTAGTTCTGAGCTGAAGTGTTTTTAGCAACTGCAACAAGCTTTGCTAACCTGGATTTGGGCTACTCTGTCATTGTTTTTTCCATTGGTCTGATTAGAAGAGGACAGTAGGGTTGTGCATTTCTGGACAGTGACCAACACAGTACATCCACCAATACAATGCTAATGATCTAATTCAGGGGTCTCCAACCTTCTTTCTTTAAGAACTACTTTCACAAAATAAAACTGTCCAAGGGCTACTTTTAAGTTTAAAATTAATGTTGCAAAAAGTAGCCCTTGGACCATTGAAATAAGCTTGTTTTGCACAGAAACATGTAGACTCTAGCGGGAAGAAACCCCATGCAGTGACATGTCACAGCGGGAGGGGTTTCCCCGGTGCTCAGGTGTGTCTCAAAAGGCTATGAAATGTGCAAACAAAAACGAACACCAAACAACAACACTGAGCCCTAAACTGAAACCACGGGGAAAGGACATCTATAGATTGATTGGAATTAAATCAAATTTGTTTGGCCAGTGACAAATTAACTTTGCTTCTTCTAATTTTTCATAAGCACTAAAGAGCTCCTTTAAATGAGCTCAGGAGCTACTGGTTGGAGACCCCTGATCTAATTCATGAATAATACACCGGCAGCAAAAACAATACAATCTCTTGTACACTGCAGTTTATTAAAATTGGATTCAAGACATCAAGATTCAATAATACTAGATAATACAAGTAAACAAATAAATGGTCCTATGTCAGTTCCATCCATCCATCTTCTGCCACTTTTCTGTGGTCAAGTCACGCAGACAACAGTTTGCGGAGGGAAATCCAGACCACCCTCTCCACAGCAACACTTTCCAGCTGCTCCTCAAGGATCCCAAAGTATTTCCAGGCCAAGAAGCATATACGTATATAACACCTCCAGTGAGTTCTAGATCTGCCTTGGGGTCTTCTAATAGAATGTACCCAGAAAATCTACATACTGATAAAAACTACCTCAAAGGATGAGCCCGGCCAACCCTACGAAGTAAGACCATATCTGCTGGAACATAAATGGACCAGTAAATTGAGAGCTTTGTCTTTTGACTCAACTCTTTCTTCCCCTAAACTGACACTTAGTCCCCTGTTCCATGACAAGGATGAAAGCTATCCTGTTCCTCCTGAGTCCCATGTTCGACAGTTGGATGGAGCCTTCCCTCTGGCACACTTAAGTAAACTTTCACAGGGAGGCTGAGAAGTGTGATCCCACTGGTTTAACATGCTGCAGGTGTTGCCCCAGTCTTTCATGAAACATTAAAGAGCTGTGTCAACAATACCAGTCCTACAATAAAAAGAGCTTTCAGCATTTCTGATCAAACCTCTCTCCCATCAGGGAGCCCTTTACCTACCTCCGTAAACTTGGCCCCATTTTTACTTCCTCAAAGGTGGACATAGTGAGCAGAATAAAGAGATCCTCCAAGCCCTTGTTTGACTGTCCAGGTCAGTAGATCCTCACTCAAACCAAGCACACACTGGAACAGGGCCCATTTGGATTCTCTGTCACTGACCTCCATTCGAAAATGTGAAAACTGTCCCACAGGTGTAAGTTGATGACCTCTTTGACAGGGGACTCCTCCAGATGATCCCAGTCACTCTCACTATTTGTTTAAGTTTACCAGGTCCCGTACCACCAAATGCAGTTCATCACCAAATGAACTCCCCTCTCTTTACCCAAGTGTCCATGACACAGTGCCACATGCCAGTTGATAAAGCTACAAAATCAATCATCAACTTTTGGCCTAAGGTGTACCAAGTACATCTATGTACTTATGTTCAAACACGATGCTTGTTATGGACAGCCAATGCCTAGCACAAAAATTCAACAACAGCATTACTCCTTGACTCTTTTTTCCTCATCCAAAATAAAACTAAAACCACTTGTACTTGTTATTATATATCATCCACCAGGTCCTTTTTCTCAGTTTTCATCTGAATTCTCAGATTTATTTTGTCAGATTTATTATTGAATACTGATAAAGTTAGAATAATGGGGGGTTTTAGTATTTATGTAGACGTTGAAAATAAAAACTTTAACTAAGCCTTTATTAGAGTCAATTGGTTTGACCCAAAACATCCCCAAATCTACACATTCTCTTCACCACACTCTTGATCTGGTTCTGACTTATGGTATAGATCAGTGGTTCCAAATCTTTTTTCTCAAAGCCCCCCTTCCTTACTTCCAAGTCAAGTGGAGCCCCCTCCAGTTCCTTACTACTCCCCACCTCTCTTAGCCTGGTAAAAACCAGCCCCTTGATTTTTGCTTTGCTTCATACGAGGGTCTGGACTCGTTGGAGGCGTGGCCTCTGTTGAAGTTTAAAATGATTGGATCGGTTGGTCACGACATACTATGTGTGCACCAGTTCCACTGTGAAGGAGGCTAAGCTAAGAGGCTAACTGGAAATTGCATGTGCTGTAAACAACCCTACTGAGAGTAGAGAAGTACTGAGCCAAATGAGACGACTGTAAATGAGAGCTGCTGCTTTGTCAGACAAATTTAATTTAATTTGAAGCCTTATCAACACAGATTGGTTTCATTCACTTCCTCCACTGCTGCATGCTAAATTACAAGCAGACACTGTGCAGAAAATCGACATTGTTGTTAAC